TCCCCTCCCCCAGTCCTGGAGATAAGAGTCTCATGGACTTTCCTGCCCAGGCTGGCTTGAACTCAGGGCCTGGGCACTGTCCCTGAGCTTTTACTCAAGGCTAGCTCTCTATCACGTGAGCCACAGCACCACTTCCGGTTTTTGAGTGGTTCATTGGGGATAAGAGTCTCACGGGGACTTTTCTGCCTGGGCTGGCTTTGAACCGCGATCCTCAGATCTCAGCCTCCTGAGTAGCTAGGATGACAGGCGTGAGCCACCAGCGCCCAGCTTCCTTTGCCTCTTTTAATTTTTTTTTTCTTGTACCAACAATAGGACTTAACTTTTTCCACTTAAGGCTGGCGCTCTACCACTAAGCCACCCTTCCACTTGATGGCTTGTTGGTGGTTGATCAGAGATAAGAGTCTCATGGATTTTTTTTTTTGGGGGGGGGTGAGGGAGGGCATGAGGGAGAGCCTGGACTGGCTTCAAACCTTAATCCTCACATCTCAGCCTCTTGAGTAATGCAGGATGGCAGGTGGGGGCCACTGGCACCAGGCTAGGAAAGGAATCTTGGGCATCTGGCTGATGTGGAGAGTGATCACCTTTCAATGGCATGATTGCCATACTGCCAGTGACCAGTAGAGGCAGCAGAGTGCCGCAGCATTTTCGTGGCTGGGAGAGGTTTGTAGCAGCACTTACGTGACTCCGAGCCCCGGAGTGCTGAACATCCAGATCACTGGCCGTCAGTCCTGGTCTGACTTCTCTAACCCAAAACCCACAGCGTGCTCAGTTTTTCCCATTGCCGTCACAAGAGCTCACTCTTTTCTCTTTTCTTTGTCACTGATGGGGCTTGAACTCAGGGCCTGTGCGCTGTCCCTGAGCTCTTTGTACTCAAGGCAAGCATTCTATGACTTGAGCCGCAGCGCCACCTGCCGTTTCCTGGTGGTCAATGGGAGATCAGAGTCTCATGGACTTTTCCTACCCAGGCTGTCTTTGAACTGCCTCCTGAGTAGCGAGGATGACAGGCGTGCACCGCGCCTCCAGCTCTGTGTCTCTTTACTGTCCCCACACGTAGCCGACGCCCTTCCTGGGGTGCTAAGATGGCAGCAACGTCTGTGGTCCCTGACAACCCGGTTTCTAGAGGCCAGGGCTGGAGGCATGGAGCCCCAGCCTCAGCGGCTGAGCAGTAAGGAGAGAGCCGAGGCCAGCAGAATCTGGAAGTACAAGAATGCTGTCATTTCCCAGGTCAGAAACTGCGACGGCCTATCTTGCGGTTTTGGATGCTTTATTCAGTGACAAGAGATGCTCTCAGGCTGCACAACTCTCTTGCTCATGTTGATTTGCCTTTGTCTCACTTCCCAAGTTCCCCTGTGTGTGTGTGTGTGTGTGTGTGTGTGGGCACGCACGCCAGTCCTGGGGCTTGAACTCAGGGCCTAGGCACTGTCCCTGAGCTTTTTTAGCTCAAAGCCAGCGCCCTTCCACTTTGCCCTTTCTGGTGGTTCAGTGGAGATAAGAGTCTCATGGACATTTCCTGACTGGGTTGGCTTTGAACTGAGATCTTCAGATCTCAGCCTCCTAAGTGACTAGGATTATAGAAGTGAGCCACCAACAACTGGCCCCATTTTTTTTTTAAATGCTGGTTCTGGGGCTTGAACTCAAGGCCTGAGCATTATCCCTGAGTTTGTTTCGCTCAAAGCTAGTGCTCTACCACTTGAGCCACAACTCTACTATGCAGTGTTTTGGCTGGTTAATTGGAGATGAGAATCTTACAGACTTTTCCTACCCAGGCTGACTTTGAACAGCAATCGTCAGCACTCAGCCTCATGAGTAGCTAGGATCATAGGTGTGAGCCACTGGTGCCTAGCATAATCCTGTTGTTGAGGACCTTGCTCTCATTTGGCTTTTTTGCTCAAGGCTAGTGCCCTACCTCTTGAGCCATGCTTCATTTCCAGCTTTTTTGCTGGTTAATCGAAGAGTCTCCCAGTCTTTCCTGCCCAGGCTGGCTTCGAACCATGATCCTCAGATCTCAGCCTCCTGAGTAGCTAAGATGACAGGCGTGAGCCACCAGCGCCCAGTTTAAAGAATAGTCTTAAGTACAGGCAAATAGCATTGACTGAATTTTTTAATCTTAGTGCTATGAAACATAGTGATTATCCAAGAGCCTGTGTTTACAAATATTTTAGATTGCATTCGTTTTAATTTCACTTTCTTGATTTTTTTTTTCTTCTGGCAAGCTTAAATGAATTTGGAAGCAATGAATAATTCAGCTTTTACCTATAGGTGACTTCCCACTTTGTGGAGGACTTCTCTCTGAATTCTGCAATTACTCAGTTGATGGGACTTAGTAATGTGCTCTTGGTAAGTGGCCTGAAGTCCTGGTTTGTTGGTGGAAGAGGAAAGTGGGGGAAGGGTCGAAGGATGGCTTACAAACACAAGTTGGGGACAGAGAGCACCACAAGTCACCTTTTGCTCTGGCGATCTCGTCTCGTGTGTATGCTGGTTCTGGGGCTTAAAACTCAGGACCTGGGGTGCTGTTCCTTAGTTTGTCCTCTCAAAGCTAGCACTCTGCCACTTGAGCCACAGCTCCACTTCCAGCTTTTTGCTAAGTGGAGATAAGAGTCGCGGTGACTGGGGCTGGGAAGGTGGCTCAGTGGTAGAGCGCTTGCCTTGCATGCTCAAGGCCCTGGGTTCAATTCCACAGCACCACATAAGCAAAAAGAAAAAAGCCGGAAGTGGCGCTGTGGCTCAAGTGGTAGAGTGCTAGCCTTGAGCTGAAGAGCTGAGGGACAGCACCCAGGCCCAGAGTTCAGGCCCCACAACCGGACCCAAAAAAAAAAAAAAGTCGCGGTGACTTTGCAGCTTGGGTTGGCTTTGAACTGAGGTCATCAAATCTCAGCCTCCTGAAGAGCTGGGATTATAGGTGGGAGCTACCAGCACCCCGCCTGGCTGTTGTGTCTTAAAAGGACATTTGCTCCATGTCACTCACAGTCTAGCCTTATTGCTAAAATGATTTTCAAGATTGTATTTTGCAACTAAGATCATGGAGGCCTTGAAAAGTTAGGTAATATGTCTGGTTGATGAGTGACCGATCAGCTATGCAGACCAGTGTTACTGTCACTGAGACCAAATCCAGCCTTTACTGACTGTCTTTCTTCTTGTTACATATGACTCCCTATTTTCTTGCCAGAATTTTTGTCAGCAAATATTATTAGCTGTTGGAAAATAGGAAACATACAGCTGGGCACCAGTGGCTCACGCCTGTAATTCACCTACCCAGGAGGCTGAGATCTGAGGATCGTGGTTTGAAGCCAGCCTAGGCAGGAAAGTCTGTGAGATGCCTCCTTTTTTTTTTGGTCAGTTGTGGGGCTTAAACTCAGGGCCTGGACACTGTCTGAGCTCTTGTACTCAAGGCTAGCGCTCTACCGATTGAGCCACAGCACCACTTCTAGTTTTTGAGTAGTTAATGACAGATAAGAATCTCACGGGGAGGCGGGGGCTGGGAAGGTGGCTCAGTGGTAGAGCGCTTGCCTTGTATGCATGAGGCCCTGGGTTCGATTCCTCAGCACCACATAAGCAAAAAGAAAAAAGCTGGAATTGGCACTGTGGTTCAAGTGGTAGAGCACTCACCTTGAACTGAAGAGCTGAGGGACAGCGCCTGGGCCCAGAGTTCAGGCCCCACGACCGGACCCCCCCCAAAGAATCTCACGGGGATTTTTTGTGTCCAAGCCAGCTGTGAACTGCTGTCCTCAGACCTCCGCCTCCTGGAGAGCTAAGATTATAGGCATGAACCACCAGCTAGCACCCAGCTTCGTATTTCTTCCTATCTGCTGTGTCTCTGAGTTCAGTTATGGCCTTTCTTTCTTACCCAGGCTGCTTCTCTTGTTCTTTTGTCCTCTCTAGCAAGCCTCTCCGAAGATCGTCGTCCACAGCCCTGAGTTTGAGGACGCCCTGTGTGCCCTGCTGGTAATGGCTGCTCCCATGGCTCCCCATGTTACCTCCGAGCTCTGGGCAGGTGCGTGAGGACTGCACGTATGTCTGCTCTTTACTAACCCGGGTGTCCCCAAGCATCGTTTTTTTTGAGGACGATTCAGGATTCAGATGCCTTTAGCCTCACTCAGAGATCTGTCTGTCTGGTACCATGCCACACTTGGTGCTTCTCCTGTGCAATCAATCCTCGACTAATCCGAACATTGGGGTTCTCCATGAATGTTCCTTTTCATGACTTGACCCCCCCCTGAGACCATGTGTACTTCAACTTGGTATAAGCTTTTTTTTTTTTTTTTTCTTCTGGTGCCTATTCTGGGGCTTGAACTCATGACCTGGCCACTGTCCCAGGTTTTTGTGCTTTTGTGCTCAAGGCTAGTGCTCTACCACTTGAGCCACAGCTCCACTTCCAGTCTTTTTGGTGATTCAATGAAGATAGGAGTGTCCCAGACTTTCCTGCCCAGGCTGGCTTCAAACCATGATCCTTAGCTCTCAACCTCTTGAGTAGCTAGACTTACAGGCATGAGCCACTGGTAACTGGCTGATAAAAGCTTTTAAGACGGGGACTCATGCTTGGTCCCCTTTTACAGTTGAAGAAGAGGCCTTGGTAATGAAATCCCAGATCTAAACTTGTAACTCACTTTCTATGGAATCTGACTTCTCCATCACGGGTTCTGCACTAGACACTCAAACAGATCTGATCAAGCAACCTCTTAATTTCTCTCACCATCTGTGAAGCCATCAGCCCACAGAGAATCCAGGAATCTGGCCTGGCACGGTGGCTTACACCTGCCATCCGCGCTACTCAGGAGGCTGAAATTTGAGAGGCTCGCAATTCAAAGCTAGTCTGAACAGGAAAAGTCCATGAGACTCTTATCTCTAGTTAACCACCAGAAAAAACAGAAGTGGTGCTGTGGATCGAGTGGTCGAGAGCTAGCTTGGAGGAGGAAAAAGCTCATAACAGTGCCTAGGCCCTGACTTCAAGCCCCATTACCAACACATACACAACAAAAGTAAACAGAGTCCCTCATTAAGAAAAAGCACAAACCTTTTGGCAGCTTGCAGACTTGAGCAGGACGAAGAAATTATTTTCCTTCCTGAAACTCGAGGATCAGAGAAGCTGAAAGACTCCACATCTGAATTTACAAAGTCATCTTTTGTTCAGCATAGAATATTGTCCTATACAAATGAGGGTGTTGGCCATTTGCTACTAATGGGGTCACCGCTAGTAGTTTCCGATGGAGGGCTCAGAGCTTCTTTTGTTGGTGATCAGTGAGAGCAGAGCTGTAATGGGGGTCTTTGATGGGATGGCAAGTAGAGCTGTATTTCATCCTCAGCCAAAATACCCTTTCTGGGCTGGGAATGTGGCTTAGCGGTAGAACGCTTGCCTAGCATGCATGAAGCCCTGGGTTTGATTCCTCAGTACCACATACACAGATTAAACTGGAAGTGGCGCTGTGTGGCTCAAGTAGTAGAGCGCTCGCCTTGAGCAAAAAGCTCAGGGACAGGGCCCAGGCCTTGAGTTCAGGACTGGTAAAAAAAAATAAATAAATAAAAGCAGAGGCAGGTGGAGTCAGCTAGGCAAAAATAACGAGACTCAAAACAAAATAAAAAATGAAAGGACTGAGGATGTAGAGCTCTTGCTAGGAGGCCCTGTGTTTGATTTCCAGTACTGACCAAAAAAGAAAAAAGAAAAGCTCTTTGTAAAGCCAGGTGTCGGTGGCTCACACCTATAATTGTAGCTGCTCAGGAGGCTGAGATCCTGCCCGGGCAGGAAAACCACTTGCCTTGAGCTGAAGAGCTGAAGAACAGTGCCCAGGCCCAGAGTTCAAGCCCCATGACCGACCCCCCCTCCCAAAAAAAAGAGTCTCACAAACTCTCCTGCCTGGGCTGGCTTTGAACCGAGATCCTCAGATCTCAGCCTTCTGAGTAGCTAGGATTATAGGCGTAAGCCACTGGCACCCGGCCATGAAATTCTTTTATCTCTAATTAACCATCAAAAGAAGTCAGAAGGAGAGGCATGAGTTGAGTGGTTAGAGCATCAGCCTTGAATGTAAATACTAAGGAACAGCACCTAGGTCCTGAGTTCAAGTCCCAGTACACCCCCCTTCCCTCCCCCCCCACCCCCCCCCACCCCATACTATTACCACCACCACCAAAAATCTTTTGTAACAGAGAATAGCTAGCTTAGACCTTTGGAACAGACAACAGCTTAGATGGTTCTAAGGGGACTTTGCCAAGAACAAAAGGCCAATCTCAAGAGGGTATGTATTATACAATTCTATTTATAACCTTTCTTGCAATAAGAGAATCATAGAGATAGGAAACACAGTAGTGGATGCCAGCAATCAGGGTTTGGGTGAAGGGGCCTTGGGCACAAAAGGAACACTGCGAAGCTGGGAGTGGCTGGTTCCACGCTGCGTCCTGTCTTGTCTGTGATTGGGTCAAGCTCCACATGGCCATCACTCAAGCCCCACCCATATCTGGATACATCTTGTACATGCATCGTTCCTCCTTGCTTTGGGTATTGTGCTGTAATGAGGCCAGGAACCACCCCTGGAGGACGCTGTGTGGAGGCTACTGAGGATCACTAGAATGTTTCCTTGCAGTTTCCTGTGAATCCAGAGTTATTTCAGATGAGATTGGGCGCATTCAGGGCGAGAGAGCCAGAGACCCAGGGTTATTAGCTGTCTTTCTGTGCTCATAAGCCCAGGGTGTTGAGACAGGCTTAGTAGACAATGAGGGAAGGAAGGAAGGAATCTATTTCTAGTTGTGGATGGTTTCTACCCTCTAGCTTATTTTCCAGGTAGGGTCTTGCTTTATTCTCAGGCTTGCCTGATCCCTCTCCCTTTGTTAGCTGTGCAAGAGTCTGAGATCTGAGGGTGAAGGTTCAAAGCGAAGCCTGGGTAGGAAAGTCCATGAAACTCTTCTCTCCAGTGAACCACCAAAAAGCCAGAAGTGGAGGTATGGCTCAAGTGGTAGAGCACCAGCCTTAAGTGGAAAAGCTGAGTGAGACCACGAAGCCCTGAGTTCAACTTCTGCTACACACACACACACACACACACACACACACACACACGAGAGAGACTTGGATCAAAACTGCCACCACCCCAGTGTATGCTCTAGACCACAAAGGCAACGTGTAGGCCTCGCCAGCTCTCAAGATGAAGAACCTTGCCTCCCTCCTCCATAGGAAGGCCAGCTCCCTAGAGGAGGGAGGGGAGGAAGAGGATGGTCCGCAGGCCACAGCCAGCCCCGCATGCCGGGACCTTGTCACTTGACAGCCTGTGTTTTGGACTTTCTCCAGACGCTTCTCAAAGGCCAGCTTTCCCCCTGACCAGTCATGTCAACCAGGTCACGGCGTTACATGAATGTCAAATACTTTTGAACGTTTGTGAAAAGTAGTTTTCCTTCCCTAAGAAGAGCCAGGAAGCAGCATCAGGCTGTACAACGTGCTGAGCTTCTGTTCATTGAAGCTCAGCACTGGGGCCCTGTTCTTAGCTATATGGAGACACGCTGGCAGAGACCCAGGTTGCTATAAATAAGCATCTTGATCATTCCAGGAAGGCTAGGGCTTCCTTTTTTCTTCCTTTTTTTTTTTTTTTTAAGGTGGAAGTTGGAACAGCTTCTGCCCAGAGCATTTTATGTCCTTTCCATCTCTCAGGAATCCTGTACAACTTCCATAGACAGTCTTCACAAATCTTCCCTGGATACCAGGCAGGAAACTCAGTGAAACTCTTCTCTCCATTTGAGCTACCCAGGAAACTGGAAGTGGGTGCTGTGGCTCCAAATGGTAGAGCACTAGCGTTGCAGGAAAAAGGCTCAGGGACAGCACTCAGGCCCTTAAGTTCAAGCCCTATGACTGACATTAAAAAAAACAAACAAACACAAACCTGCAAAAGCAAGGTTGGGGACACATGGGTCACACTTATAATCCTAGCTGCTCAGGAGGCTGCAATGTGAGGATCGTGGTTCAAAGCCAGCCCAGGCAGAAAAGTCTGTGAGACTCTTAACTCTAATTAGCCAGCAAAATGCTGGACTGGAGGTCTGATAGAGTGCCTACCGAGGGCAAAAAAAAGTCAAGTGAGAGCACAAAGCTCAAGAATTCAAGCCCCAGTACCTGCAAACAAAAAAGCCAAAAGCTGGGTTGTAGGCATGACTCAAATGGATTGAGCACCAGCTATGAACAAGCAGACCTCTATAAGCACACAGCCCAGAATGCATGTCCCAGCACCACCAGAAAAAGGGGCCTGGGAAGGTAGCTTAGTGGTAGAGTGCTTGCCTAGCATGCATGAAGCCCTGAGTTTGATTCCTCATGGTTAGCACAGTTTTAGGCCCTAGATTTTTCTCCAGCCACCAGTGAAGCATTGGGGAAGCATTCTGGGAAGAAAGAAGCGTGGAGAGCGATTCAGTCTCCACTGCTGCCCCGTGTGGGTTTGGCCTACTCTGTACCAAGGAAAGCTGTGTGCAGTTCACCAGGAAGGGAAGGGTAACAGGGTAAAAAGTCTGCTTTGGGAGGGCTGAGAAGTACCCTTCTATTCTCCAACCTCTGCATTCTCACTCCTGAGGCTAGCAGCCGTAAGTATGTAGGAAGCCTCTCAGACCCCAAGTGCTCATAGGCAAGAGAGGAAAGTGGAGGTGGTGTAGTTCTTGGGGTTGGGGATGGGGAGCAATCAGCAGCCTTGATAGTTGGGTTCAGTTTGTGTATTTGTGCGCATGTGTGCCAGCACTGGGGCTTGAACTCAGGGTCCTTGTGTTCTTGCTTAGCTTTCAATAGGCTGATGCTCTACCACTTGAACCACAGCTCCACTTCCAGCTTCTTGGTGCTTCAGTGGAGATAAGAATCTCATGGGCTTTCCTTCCCTGACTGGCTTTGAACTGCGATCCTCAGATCTCAGCCTCCTGAGTAGATAGGATGACAGGCGTGAGCCATCGGCACCCAGCCTTGTTTTTGTTTTTGCACATACTCATTTCAGAACAACACATGAATTGGTACTTACAGCTCTGGGGGCTGTTTGCCAAAAGCTGCCTTTAAGCTTGTGATTACAGACCAGGCCAGCTAGTCACCAGTGGCTCACATAAGACTCTTTTAATCTTTATATCTTCAATTATTCACCCTCACTCCACCCCCAAGAAAAAAAGCCAGAAGTAGCACTCAAATGGTAGAGGATCAGCCTTAAGAGAAAAAACTAGAGGGGCTGGGAAGGTGGCTCAGTGGTAGAGTGCTTGCCTTGCATGCATGAGGCCCTGGGTTTGATTCCTCTGCACCACATAAGCAGAGAAAGCCAGAAGTGGCACTGTGGCTCAAGTGGTAGAGCGCTCGCCTTGAGCTGAAGAGCTGAGGGACAGCGCCCAGGCCCGGAGTTCAGGCCCCATGACCAACAACAACAACAAAAGAACCTGTGTACTTGGTATAACCCATCTCTGTCTGGGTGTTGCAGGTCTAGCGCTGGTACCCCGGAAACTGTGTGAGCACTATACTTGGGATACTGGGGTGCTACTTCAGACTTGGCCCACTGTGGACCCAGAGTACCTTCAGCAACCTGACATTGTACAGATGGCTGTCCTGGTAGGTACTGGTCTTCCCCCTCTTCCCCTCCCCCCCAGCCCCTCAGCCCTTTGCCCCAGAAGCCGAGCTCATCGGGGCCCAGATACGTCTTGTGCAAAACTGCTCTTGGGACCAGGCCCAGACAGGTGGCTGGCTATTTATGAATATGCCACTCTGTAAAATATATTTCCGAAAAGCTATAGAAAATTCCCTCCCTCCCTCCCTTCCTCCCTTCCTCCCTTCCTTCCTTCCTTTTCTTTCTTTTTGTAAATTGGATCATCTTCAATAAGCAGTTTATTGCTTGAATTTTTTTGGTTCTGTTTTTGGGGTTTGTTGTATTGTTGTTGTTGTTGTTGTTGTTGTTTGTTTTTGTCATTCGTGGGGCCTGAAACTCCAGGCCTGGGCACTGTCCCTGAGCGCCTTTGCTCAAGTTGAATGCTCTACCACTTTGAGCCACAGTGCCGCTTCCAGTTTTTCTGGTGGTTCATTGGGAAGAAGGAGTCTTACAGACTTTCCTGGCTGGCTTTGAACCACGATCCTCAGATCTCAGCCTCCTGACTGGTAGTGTGAGCCACCAGCGCACAGCACCATCTCCTGAGTCATACATGGGTCCAAGTCATTTGTAGACAAGCTGTCATTTAACTCCCATCACCCCATGCCTCACCTCTCACTCTTAGTTGAAGATCCAGCCAGGCTCGGGTGAGTTAAGTTAGCATGCCCAATTTCCCCTCTACACCAGCCATGATACTGGATCACCATACAAAAATCACACCAGACAGACCCTCTTGAGTCTCAGCACCTCGAGAGGAACTAGAGAAGAAAAAGCAAGAGAGATCAAGAAAGACAATCAATGCTGATCGTGGATCCTATCACTGTTCTATCTAGCCAGCGGTGGAGGGTGAGCAGACACAGAAGTGCAGCTCGCTAACCAGCTGGTACGGACTTCTGTACCTGTGCAGGTTCTCAGCCCCGCAGAGTTTGGTCTGGGCTTCTGAGCCACTGGGCTCCATACCCACTTGTCCTTGGCATTTAGATCCCTGCCATCCCCGTACAAAGGGATCAGGAGGGAGAGAAGGCAGGGTTTCCCTAGAGACTTCTGCCCCAAACCCTTAGAACCACAACTGCCCCTGGTGACACAAGACATTCTTTGAGCAGCGGTTCTGAGAAAGAAACATCTGCTGTACCCCCTGGAAGCTTGTCTCAGTGCAGCTGACAGATTTCCACTTGCAGTTTCAGCTTATGCAAACGTCTTTCTATTTTAAGGAAGCACAACATTTCTATTTAAAAATGCCACCAGGGCCGGGCACCGGTGACTCACGCCTGTCATTCTCCTAGCAACTCAGGAGGCTGAGATCTGAGGATGCTGGTTCCAAGCCAGCTCCGGGCAGACTTTGCTCTCTTAAAGCCTATGAAATTTATCCACCAGAAAACTGGAAATGGTGCTGCTGTGGCTCAAAAGTGGTAAAACACCAGCCTTGAGCACTAAGAGCTCAGGGACAGCGCCCAGGCCCTGAGTTCTAGCCCCATGATCAACACAAAATTAATCAATTAATCCTCACACTTGGGAGGAGGATCTAGAATTCCAACTCAGCCTGGAAAACTAGGTAGGTTCCCACTTGGGAGTTGCAGATCAGGACAATGCCAGGCAGGGAGTGTGCCGAGAAAAGCTTGTGTTCTGACCCCACGGGAGGTGGTAGTGATACCTGAGACCAGAATAGAAGCTGCAAGCTGGGAATCAGTCATGTGGTTTGGCTTGCCCGCGTTCCCGGAGTCCTGCCAAGCAAACACTGAAGGTTTCTTCTATAAGCCCCAGGGACAAAGGCCAGGAGGGGGCATGGTAAATTGTAGCCACTGATTACGGTAGGGAGCTATGAATGTGAAGCAGCATGTAGAACCTTAGGGCTAGAGGCACGTTAAGAGAGCCCTGGAGCCAGCCACCGACAGCTCCTACCTGCCAGCCCAGCTTGATACTCAGGAGGCTGAGATCTGAGAGTTGTGGTACGAAGCCAGCCCAGGCAGGAAAGTCTGTGAGACTCTTGTCTCCAATTAAATCACAGAAAAAGCTAGAAGTGGTGCTGTGGCTCCAAGTGATAGAGCGCTAGCCTTGAGCAAAAAGGAGCTCAGGGACAGCACCCAGGCCCAGAGTTTAAGCCTTAGGCCTGGCAAAAGGAAAAAACAAAAAAAAAACACAAAAAAACCTAGAACCTGGGGTGTGATCTGAGTTGGAGCTGGAACTAAGGGTGCAGACAGATTGCTCCAGAGAAGAGAAGAGGTCTGAATTAGTCCTGAGTCACCCAGCTTGTAAAACCAAAATCCTCCCGATCTCCTGAGTAACGTAGGTTACAAACATGAGCCACTGGACCCAGCTATGCTAAGAAGTTTTTTTTTCCCCCCAACACTGGGACTTGAACTCTGTATCTGACGCGTTCACTCATTGACTGTACCACCTGAGTCACACCTCCAACACCCAAGGATCTGTTTTATTCTCATTTTGAGACGCTATTAGGGCTTGAACGTAAGAGCCTTTTACACTTTCACTTGGCTTTCTTGCTGGCTTGCTCAGTGATGATGCTCTACCACTTGAGCCACGCCTGCAATCTGGCATTTTGCTGGCTCATGAGAGGTTTTTTTTTTTGTTGTTGTTGTTGTTCCCATATAACTTCCACACCAACAGTACTGGGGAGTCACATTCAGGAAACACAAGGAAATTCTCACTCCACACGCATACTCAGATGCATCCTCCATGTCTTTGTGTCGGTCTGTCTCTCCCTCCCAATTAATGGGGGCATGGATCCTATCCATGCGGCAGGCAGCGGGGTACCTGCCGCACCCTCTGAGGATGGTCCTCCTTGTCTCAGCTCTTTTATTTGTTTTTTGCCCTTTACAGATCAACAACAAAGCCTGCGGCAAGATCCCCGTGCCCCAGCACGTAGCTCAGGACCCGGATAAAGTGCACGAACTTGTCCTGCAGAGCGATCTGGGCGTTAGGCTCTTGCAAGGGAAATGCATCAAGAAAGCTTTCCTCTCGCCCAGGACCGCCCTCATCAACTTCCTGGTGCAAGAGTAACCCCGCAAAGGGGGAAGCCCAGAGGAGCCTCCTTCGTTCCGGGCCAGCTCCAAGAAAAAGGAAAAGTCACGTGTCTTGGATATTGCCCTGGCCCCAGGATGGAGGAGAGACAACAGAGTGCCTGTGGAATGTGGCCTGGTGGAGGAGAGAGGCTGGCTGTGGGCAAAGGAGAAATGGAGCAGAGGTTACGCAGCCATCCCTTGGTCGCCTTCCTGGTCAGGATAAGGAAGCTGTCCAACGTGATCAGAAGATACCAGGATGCTATGGGGAAGGAGAAGAGACGTGATCGAGGGTTGGGACTCCTGAGCAGCCAGAAGCCTCTAGATCTCAGTGATAGCGCTGCCTTCTCTCTGGACTCCTCAAACCCAGGGAGCTGCTGGACAGTCATACCAAGCCTCCTGAGGCTGGGGGCTGATCTGCCAGCTCTCAGGCTACTATTCAGGTCACAGACAAACATCCAGTGTGAACAAGTGGACACGCCGGGCCTTCAGAAGTTACTCTGGCCCAGCATTGGTAGCTTATACTTGTAATCTCAGCTACTCAGGAGGCTGAGACCTGAGGCCTCAAAGCCAACCCCGGTGGGAAAGTCCGTGAGAGTCTTAGCTCCAAGTTAACCAGCAAAAGTCCAGAAGCAGAGTTGTGGTTCAAGTGGTGGAGTGCTAGCCTTGAGTGAAAAAGCTCAGGGATAGCGCCCGGGCCCTGATTTCAAGCCCTCTATGACCGACCAAAAAAAAAAAAAGTTGCATAGAACCAAGTGTGGTGCACATACCTATAATCCTAGCTCTAAGGGGGAGGATCTCAAGTTTAAGGCCAGCCTAGACTATATAGCAAGACTGACAAAAACTGAAAAATATAATTAAAACAAAAACACAAAGCCAGGCGCTGGTGGCTCACGCCTGTCATCCTAGCTCCTCAGGAGGCTTGAGATCTGAGGATCACAGTTCAAAGCCAGCCCAGGCACGAAAATCTGAGAGACTCTCATCTCCAATTAACCACTCAAAAACCGCAAGTGGAGCTGCAGCTCAAAGTGGTAGAGCACTAGCCTTGAGCAGAAGAGATCAGGGACCCTGAGTTCAAGCCCCACAACTTGACATCAGAAACAAAAACCAACCATAGTAAAATATAGGAAAAGAAAAAAAAAAGGGGGGCGGGCGGAGGATCTCCTTCCGGTGAACATCCAATAAGTTCTGTGTCACAAAACAGCTGCTCTGGTCCCTCCACCTATTTCCCCAAATGCCATTCCTGTTCCTCTCTGGTGCACAGGCCCACTGGGCCTGGCCTAATGCTGGTGCACGCATGCGCACACACACACGCACACACGTGTGCTCAGCCAGGGTCCCACTTTGTATAAGGAGGGGCCACATCGTCGTCAAGGTCTTACCACAAAGGATTTGCAGCCTCGTGAAGTGGAACCACGCCCTGGGCTGCTGGTCCCCGGCAAAGCCCCAGCCCAGCAAGGATTTGGGCCCCGGATGACGCATTGCCAACCACAGATGGTGATGAAGTCAGCAATGGGGTGATCTGACCAGAAGTGGCCTTAGCTGCTGATGAATGCTCATTGAGGGAAGAAAGGGAAGAAGCTAACCACTTACTCTGTACTGCCCCTCCCCCCAAAAAAAAACCCACAAAAATCTATATTTAGCCCACTGTTGGTGGCTCACGTCTGTCAGCCTAGCTCCTCCGAAGGCTGAGACCTGAGGATCACAGATCAAAGCCAGCCTGGGCAGGAAAGGTCCGTGAGACTGCTCTCCAATGAACTACTAAAATGCTACAAGTAGAGTTGTGACTCTCCAATGACAGGGCTCCAGCCTGGAGTGGGAAAAGGACAAACTCAAGGACAATACCCCAGGCCCTGAGTTCCAGGTTCAATGTAAAATTCTTCGATTTAAAAAAAAAAAATATCTCTTTCTTGGCTCTCTGGTGTCATCATTCTGAAGCTGCAGCTCAGTAGTTGATAGCTGATTGCTTTTGGCATAACAAAATGTGTTATCACTTTGGGACAGATCTCTGTTCTGGGAACTGGCCACCATGTTCCAATTCTAGGAGTTGATCAGGAGCCGACCGATGGCTTCCATGGACGTCTGATCATCAGAGGTGCTGGCTGGGTACCCGCCCTCCACGTGGACACCGACCTGGACATGCACACAGGCCTCAATTTCTGGAGCTCACAGCCCAGGGGCAGACAGCCCTGACAGGTATGTTAGTCGCAAGATTGGCTCCATTTTAGTTCTATGCCTGGTCCCTAGGCCCAGACATTCTCATTTAACTGATCTGCTGTGTAGCTTGAGTATCCTGACACTACAAAAGATGATAAGCTCACGCCTGTCATCCTAGCTACTCTAGAGGCTGAGATCTAAGGATCAAGGCTCAAAGCCAGCAGGGGCAAGAAAATACTCATTTTGGGGGCTGGGAATGTGGCTTAGTGGTAGAGTGCTTGCTTAGCATGCATGAAGCCCTGGGTTTGAGTCTTCAGTACCACATGCCAGAAAAAGCCAGAAGTGGCACTGTGGCTCAAGTGATAGAGTGCTAGCCTTAAAAGAAGCTCAAGGACAGAGCCCAGGCCCTGAGTTCAAGCCCCAGGACTGTCACAAAAAGAAAAAAGAAAGTATAAGGTTTT